TAGATGTAAAATATGTTTTGGAGAAGAAGTTCTGAAAACAAATGAGTAGAGCACTAACCTCAGGAAGTTGGCAAAAGAGCAGTAAATATAGAGAGAGTGGAAGGCAGGAACTTTCAAGAGCGGGAGCAGAAAGTAATAAAGTGTAAAAGGAAGAAATAATATCACCAAAATCAAAGTCCAGTGTTTTCACTAAATTAAGACAATAGAAAATTATTAGAGTAAAAGCATATACACAGAAGCACTGTTAGGAATGAAAGAAAGGACAGAACTGTAGTTTCACTGGGGATTTTGAAAACCACATGTGAACATTTAAAACCTTGATAAAATATTTTCTTTTCTAAAAAAAGCATAAATTTCAAAAACTGACCCAAGAAGAAATAAGCCAATAGCTATGCCAGAAATTGAGTTAGTAATCAAAAGATTCTCCTGACAGCCTCCTTTACCCTTTCAAAAAATAAAACCCACCAAGCCAGATGATTTTCCATAGGTGGGAGGAGTCTTACCAAACTTTCAAGGAGCATTTATTCTCTCTTATTAAATGATTTCAGAAAGAGAGAGAAAGAAGTCGGCCAACTAATTTTATGAGGCTAATATAACCTCAGTTGCAAACAGGGTAAGAATAGCACAAGAAAAGAAAATCATAGGCAAATTACATGTATGATTTGGATGCAAAAATCCTAATTAAAATACTTGCAAACCAAATTCAGAATTATATATATCTAAGAGGCCAAAGTAGAAACTTGAGTGCTTTTTTTGACCTGCCCTCAGAAGTCACTCGGCAGTTTTCTCTGGGTTTTGCACGCCAGCCCCCAAGTGCAGGAGACACTTGCACAAAGATCTAGCTTCTCCATCACAGCAGGTAGCAAGGACCACTGGGGACCACCCTGGAGGCTGGCTGCCACAACCAAGTCCCATTACCCCCTGTAAGACATTAAAGGACTACATAGTGTACTCGCATCTCTAAGAAGTGCCACTGTAAAATATTTAACTTTTTTTAAGCCCAGTGTTTGTTTAATCCACAGCTGTTTGACGACTGGAACCTTTTATTCACCAAACACCTACTAATTCCTGTACAGTGCTCTTTGGAAAATGCTGCTTTCGGCTGTTTAGTTAAGGGGAGTATCATGAGAGAACACTCTAAAAATTTGTTAACTTTCTGAATGTTCCACATGTAACAGAACATCTAATTTATTTCTTGAGGCTCATTTGTGAAAGCCCAACGGTAAGTGATGTGGCTTCCCTTTCTTTCAGGTTGTCAGTGGTTCATCCCTTTTAAAGTCCACCTTGGGTAGGACTCTTTAGCCTCCAGGTCTGGAAGGGAGTGCTGGGGGTGGGAGGCCGTCGGGAGGTGGGGGGTGGTTGGAGGAAGCATTACCAGGGTCTTCTGGAACTGGGTGGGAAATAGAGTCCGAAACTGCTAGGATCCCATGATTCCAACTTAATTAATGCCTTTGAGTTCTCCCTTCCCATTCTGTCTCGCATCTGCTTTAAAATGTATCAGCACTTTGAAGGACAAGCTGGGTGGTCCTCCCCTTACCACATGATGTCACTGTAGGAAAATTAATAACCCCCAGTGAGGCTGGCCGTGCCTTTCATATGTGTAACATATCCAAGACTTACCCTATTGAAACAAGTAACCCCTAAAATTAGCTGTCTCCAATTTAGTGCACATTGGACTTGCGATCATCTCAGGAACCACACCTACCCGGCTCCGATTGAAACTCACCCCCTTCGGGGAAGATTTCCGGCGCGAGGGAGAGAACAGCCAAAGGGTTAGGGGATATCTCTGGGTCAAACCTGCAAGACAGCAAACGCAAGGAAGGGCTGAAACCCGAAACTTCTAAAATGGATTTTAAAAAATCAAGTGTCATGATTAACAAAAGAACTTTTGGGGAATAATTTTTCTCTTGGAAACCCGAGCCTGCCTCAGCTGCTAAGGGGAAGCAATGGGAATGCTGGAGTCTGCCCAGTATCTGGGTGGGAAGGAAGGACAGCAGGAGCCTGACACAGGACAGACTCGAAGGAGGGAAGGAGGGAGGAGACCAGCCTTAACCTGCACAAGTGTGCAACTCGGGGGGGTTCCCTGTGGCGCTGTTAGGACTTGGTGCTGTGTGCCCTGAAGTGTCCTCCCAGGCTTGGAGGCTCCGGGAGGACGGCGAGAAAGGGGAAAAAACGGACATGGCATTGACTTTCACGTTTCAGAGGAGAGGGAGAGCGGTGAACTGCCCGAGAGTTCAGAGGAGGGGGCTTGCTGCCAGAGGGGTCCGGACGCCGGGTGCTGCCCGGGCTACCTGCGGGGTCCGGGGTAGCGCTGAAGCCTGCGGTACCCGCGCTCGCGGCCAGCGGAGGCGGGGACAAGACGTGGAAAGGCTGGCGCCAGAGCAGGACCCGAGGGCTCCGCGGTGACTGCGGGCTACCAGGAGCCGCAGGTGGTTCTACAGGAGAGGCGCAGGGATGATACCTGCGATTAGTAAGAAATTCATCATTATAAAAAGGAGAACGGCCGGCCTACTGAACTGGCTGAGCGCCAACCAGAGGGAGTGCTGGGTTCATGCTTGGGGCTCCGCGCCTCCAGGAAGCCTTCCGAGACGGAGCCCCTCCGCCGCGGGCTCCATCCGGGCCTGGGTGAATCGGGTGCCCGGGCGGCCTCGGCTCGGCGGGGCCCTGGCTCTCGGTCTTGCGCGGGACGAGGGTCTCGGCAGCCTCAGGAGGTCACTGCGAACAGGCGCGGGGACCTGGGCGCGGCGCGGTACCAGTGAGGTGGGTGCCGGGCGGCACAGCCCCTCGGGCCGAGGACAGCGCCGAGCGACCGCGGCCTCTGCCCCAGCGGAGCGGGTCGAGGGGCGCACCCGCCCGTCCTGTGCCCGGGGTTCGGGGCGGCGTTTCCCGGGACGCGGGCGGGTCGCGGAGGGCACGGATGGAGTTGGCCGGGGCGGGCAGCCTGGACCGGGTCGCGCCTTGCAAGACCCCCGCCGCGCCGCGGGTTCCCGGTCTGGGCGCTGGGACGCGCGCGCGTCCGCGGGAGAGACGGGCTGGAGGCGGGCGGGGGCGACTGGCCTGGCTTCCCCTCGGATTCCGTCTGGCCTGCAGGATGCTGGGGTGCCCGCCCCTTTTCGCTTCTCTGTCGCCGGCGCTGCGTCCGGGGTCTCGGCCTTTGTCTCACCGCCCTAGGTATTCCGATTTCTGAACCCCGACACCCAATCTTTGGCTTCGCAGTTTGAATTCCCCTGAGAACCACCTCCTCCACCCTGTCCCCATCCGTGACAGCACGAAACGGTCACTTCGCGCCTTACACAAACACAGAGCCCTGCCCAGACCCCGCCCTGACCTCTCCGCTCCACCGTCAGGAAAAGATCCAGTAACAGAGTTAGACACCAGGTTCTCCAAGTGGTTCTCAAACTGGGCCCATGAGTCCTATTCTATGGCCCATCCCTCTTTTTTCCCCCCCGAGCAGTTAGGACTTTTCTCCGAAAACCTTTTCCCTTCTTTCCTCTCTTTGTATTAAAAGGTGAGTAGTGATGCCAGCGCTCTTGGAGAGTACCAGTTAAAGGGTGGGTGGCTGGGGTGAAGGCCACAGGCATCTGAACAAAGGGTCCCCAGCGGCAGGTAGCCACCTGGACAGAATAGAGCCTGACCCTCAGAGTCACGGCGGTACCAAGGCGGGGTGGGGGGTGGGGGGTGTGTCTCCTCTCCCTTCTAACTGGGTTTGATCAGGTTTTGCTTTATCAAGGCCACATTGTTACAGCTTACTTAGGTAATGATGAGGCAATGAAAAACAAACGGTGAGTTTGCTATTTGCAGGGTGGGGAGGGGGACGGGGGCGGGGGTAGTAATACCTCAGAGAATACAGGCTGAGGTTAGAGGCCAACTGCTCCTGGTGCCCACTGTGACTTTTCTGGTAAGAAGTAAACTGTGGGAGTGAGGAATAGCTTATCCTTCAAATCTTGACACTAATCAACAGTGATTAAGTTCAAATGAGTGGGTTGAGTAGCTGGGGAATGTCAAGTGTGGCAGGCCTTTGACAAGCAAACATAATGCAGGATTGTCACTATGTCACAGCCTGAAGCTGGAGATTATTGGGCAAAAGAACAAGAGAAATAAGCGGGGGTGGGGGGTGGGGAGTGGGGGGGACCCCAAAAGCATCAAAAGTTGAACCGAGAAGTGAAGAAAGGCAGTTCTGTGTAAACCTCATTCAAGAATTATCACTTTAATGGGTAGTTGCTTACAAGCTAGAGATGGGAAATGTTTCTGGCTTTAATACTGAACCAGACAAAAATATTTACTAGACTGACTGAGGATACTGATTCTCTCTTCTCTCTTCCTTAGGTTACAACCTTGTAGGGGAACATGGCAGTTGGAGTTAAAAACACAAAACAAAACAAAACCCCACTTTGAATCCTAATCACACCTTTCCATGCTGCATGGGAGGCAGGATAACTATTGATTTACAGAGCCTCTGCTAGTTTCTCGGCTAAATAGGATTGTGTGAGAATTAAATGAGACACCAGGCCCAGTTACACCTGGTAGATGCTATTAATAAATAGAATAGTCATTACTAAAATTACTGTTCCTGACAATAAGCTATTTTTGTAGAAATCACGCTATGGCTTTAGTAGACACTCAATAAATAATAATAAAAAAGCAAATGAATGACCCTACTTTGTAAGTACTACCATGTCTTATCTTTAGTCCCCGACTTTCAGTTTTATCCTCAAGACAATATTACACAGATGAGGGGTGCCTGGGTGGCTCAGTGGGTTAAGCTTGTGACTTCCGCAGGTCATGATCTCAGGGCCTGGGGTGGAGCCCTGAGCCCCGCAACGGGCTCTCTGCTCAGCAGGGAGCCTGCTTCCCCCTCTCTCTCTGCCTGCCCCTCTGCCTACTTGTGATCTCTCTGTCAAATAAATAAACAAAATCTTTTTTAAAAAATTACACAGATGAAAATATTGGCATTGTCTTAGTTTTGATTTGTTCTATTGACGAACAATAGAAAAGTCTACAGACTGGGCATAAATGAGCTGGTGGGACTCTGACATCAAAGGTCTAGTCCACTAAACCAAACAAAAGAATGTGAAGGGGGCATAGTCAAGAGTGGGAAAGAGCCACATCTCCTGCAAAGTCTGTTTTAATTTAGGGTGCTTCCCAATTTTTATTGTCATTCTCAAGGTCAGCGTCCAGCCTTCCTAGGAGGCAAAAGTGCTTTGGAATGTTCGAAAGAAGTGGAGAATATTCTTCTAGTCCCTGGAAACCCTACCTCTCAGGGGATGATGGGGGTGGGGGAAGAGAGAATAATTAAATAGTAAGTAAGTTAATATTGCTCTCATTCTGCTAGCAGGGGCCAGGTGGCGGGATTTACATTACAAAGGTTGAATTTCCATTATGAAGAAGCCCTTTAGGTATTTTATAACTAAATCCTCTTAGGCAAAGACTTGTAAAGACTTGCCTTGACTAAATGTCCTTTATAAAGCATCCCAGTTCCACATAAAAGGGAAGGAACAGTTCAAATGCTATTGCTATTGAACAGTTCAAATGCTATTGCATTATGCTATGCATCCAAACGGATGCTGTTTGGAGCTGAATCTCCCAGGATTGGTGGCCGAGAAGGAGACCGGTGGAGAGGGCTGTGCTGTGAGTGACAGTAGCGACTTCTCTATCTCCGTGAGGGCTCCTGTTGTTGTGGCCCATGGGAGAGTCTGCACTGGGGATCAGAATTAGCTCCTAAGTCAGAAGAGGGCAGGGGGAGAGGAACTGGCTGCTGTGAAGGAAACTTCAAGCCTCGGACAGGATTTTAGTGTAATGCAAGGAGCAAAAGCTGGGGAAGAAAGACCGGGTTCCAAATAAAGGGAGTCCGTGTGTTTTCGGGGGCAGCTCCAGAATTTTCGGTGTGGGAGACGGTTTGAGGCGGCCACTGCTTTCGACACCTAAGAGTCTCTGTCTGGAAGATCTCTGGGGGGCAAATGCTGATTTTACTTAGACTGCACATTCATCTGACTCGGTTGGTCTGGACAAAAGGGATGGAGGAACTAACACACGATCCTGCTCGACCACTGCTTGTACTCTTTATATCGTTTTGATTGCCAAAAAAAAAAAAAAAAAAAGTTTTTGCAAAAATGGGGTTTTATGGTAAACCTCCCACAGAAACCCAGCTGCCTTTACAGAGGCCATAAAAGAATCAAGGTCGCTGACAGAGAACGAAAAGACCCACCCAGGAACCAGGTTTGCGTAGGAGTCTTGTGTTACCTGCCATTGTGGGGACTTCGAGGTTTTTTGTTCTATTCCCCGGCTGCTGCTGCTCACCAAGGCCATCCATCTTCTTTCTGGAGTCTCCTTGACATCCACTGTCTGTCCCTGTGTTTGCCATTTACACCTCCCTAGAAAGCATACCCAACTGGTCCAATTTAAAGTTTCCATGAAGCCAAGAGAGGAGTTCGCTTCTCAGAGGTTGCAGAGGAGGGAGTCACGCTGGAAGAACTGTCCAGGACTGCTTCTCTCAGCGGGTGTCTCTAGGAGGCACCTCCAGAGAAGGTGATCTCCAGGACACAGGCTGTTTTCTGCTCCAGGTGCAGGAGCACGAGGCCGAGGGAATGGCTCACATCACCTTTGTCTCAGCACTCTCCGAACAACGAACAACGTGTGGACAGGAAAAGGGCCTCAGGGGGTATGTGAAACAAGCTCTTCAAGAACAAGCTTGCGAGTCATTCAGTCTGCCTCTGACGATGACAGTAGCAGCAGCATTCACTCTGATGGAGTGTCCGTTATCTGGCGGGTACTGGGAAGGCGCTGAGCCCTTGCCCTGCTCACAGAAACACTCACCTTCACTGCACCTCACCAGTGTAAGCAGGTAGGAGCCCTTGATAGAACTGGCCGCATTTTATGGATGAGTCATCTCTTTCTAGGTAACAGCCTACTCCAAAACCTAGTGGACTTAATCATCGTTGTATTTGTCCAGGCCTTGCGGGTTGGAGATTCGAACATGGTTCAGCAGCCCTCACCTCTCTGCTCTGTGAGGTGTGGGGCCTCAGCTGAGTGGCCAGGAGGGCTGTGACTGTCCAGGCATCTCTCTTCTTATGATGTTGAGACTGCTCACCTGGTGCTGGAAAATCCAAGATGGCCTCACTACTGGTCTAGGGCCTTGATGTGGGCCAAGGGGCTTGGGTTTCCCTGTGGGGAAGAGCCTTCTGTTTCTCTCCCCCTCTCTCTCCATGGCCTCATCATTCAGTAGCCCAGCCTGACCTTCTGTACATGGCAGCTGGCTTCTAAAAGGGCAAATGTACAAGCTGCAAACCCTCCTAAGGGAGAGGCTTGAAAGTCACATAGCATCACCTGTGCAGTATCCATCGGGCCAAACTAGTCACAGAGACAGCTCAGATGCAAGAAGACGGAGATGAGGCTGCCTGTACATGAGGGCGGGAGAGTGGGAGGGGGAAGGAATTTTGGTGTTGATGGCCATCTTTGTAGACCATAATTTTTCCTTTTCAAGGATGAGCTGATGATGGCTCAGACAGAAGAGCTCAGCAGAAAAGGACTTACACACTTTTCTGCGGATCAGGCCGGGGTGGTCATTGCAAAGAAGAAAATGTCAAGAAGATTCTCAGTGAAAGCCCTTTGAAGACCCTCTGTCCGTGGATCCGTCTCCCATAAAATGATGATGCTCGCAACACCCGTTACTTTCCTTCTTATCTCTCACCCTTTCTGTAATGTGCCCCATTCCAAATATTGACCTTTTGTTCTACCTGGGTTCAGTTGACGATGTATCATCCAAGAAGAAAATTTTGCAGAGTTAATGCCTTTCTTGTTTTTGTAGACGATTTCTCATTTTTTGAAAAGATTTTATTTATTTGTATGACAAAGAGTGAGACAGTGAGAGAGGAGGACCACGAGCAGGGGCAGTAGGAGAGGGAGAAGCAGGCTTCCTGCTCAGCAGGAAGCCTGATGTGGGGCTCAGTGCTGGGATCGATCCCAGGACCCTGGGATCATGACCTGAGTCAAAGGCAGAGGCTCAAAGACTGAGTCATCCAGGCACCCCGAATATTTCTCATTTTTGACAAGCATCTGGAAAATCTTGAGCCATTCGAATGCTTAGCAGTGGGCTTCTGGAGCTTGTGATTTTCTGGTTAACTGAATATTTAGCTCTACTCATTTCAGCTCCTGTTGGAAGATCTTAGAAAATGTATTAATTTAATTTACTGCCTTTGTAACCAGCATATGAAACACATTTGAATTACTGGCTCACAAGTGAAAACCTCTAGGCCCAGAGTCAGCTCTCTGATCCCTGTCTTCCTGGTAGCTGCTGTAGCAGGATCAGGCAGCCAAGCTGGATATGGAGTTCCCATAAAATGGTGACCAAATTGATCGTTTTAGTATAACTTTCCACTTTCTCAAATAATGAAAGACAACCCCTCTTTTCAAAAAATGCTACCTGTGTGGAGATTTTACCATAAACTTAAACAGACACTTTTTCAACCAGATGAAGGAGAACGATTTTGTTATTTAGAAGTCCAGTGCGCTATCCATTGTGCAACTGAGCCACCCTAATTTTGTTAATCAGGGATTGTGTTACTCTTGATTCTGTCTGACTTTTCAAGAGGAAATCAGTAATTAGTAATGGATCGGTGTATACGTCAGCGAGGGACCCGGTGCTTCCCAAGAGGAAGGCCTGAACAATAGGGGATGTGATGTTTTATTGGACTATTATTATAGAAATCAGGCACGTCCATCCAGACACATTCGTTTTTAGACTTTCATTTCTCTTTGACCTTTGACCCCTCACACACAGTTCCCAGTCTCACTCTTAATGGTCTCTGCAAGATAAGATTTTGCATTTAAACTATGAAAGTCATTCTAGGGCTGGGTGTTATTTGTATTTGGTTGAAAAAAAGCTTAACTTTGAAGAGGAGTTATTTGATTTTGATTTTATAAAGGAACCCCTCCCAACATAATGACATCCTTTGTCTAATCAAGGATGGTTGAGAGAATAAAGACTCCATGGGCCGATTCCAGCTTCAGTGTGGAATGAGGAAGTGTGATGAATAGAGATGGTCTGCAGTTACAAGGGCTAGAATCCTGTGTTAAAACAGTCATATATAATGGATGTTACATCACATCACTGCCCCTAGCCAGCTCTGTTGCTTTCTTTGCACTTGCCCTTCACAAGTTCCTCTGTCTGTTTTTCACTGATTTATGTATTCACCAATATTTGAAAAGCCTAGCAGGTGTCAGGCACTGGGGTTCTAAAGACGAGTAGAGCTGTGGCCCCAACCCCTGGAGACAGACATGTAAGGGGAGGGGCAGCAGCGTGCCAAGTGCCGTCCTTTGGACATGGGCATGGATAAGCCCAGGGAGGTCAGGGAGGGCTTCTTGGAGGAAGAGATGCTAATGCTGAAATTCCAAGAGAGCTCGGGACTTCACCGGGTACAACGTGAGGGTTGGAGGTCATTTAAGAAGGTGAAGGTGCAGAAAGGAGGCAGTTCTTTGAGGAAGCTGCTGGGGGCCCTTCCCTTTGGGAAGAGTAACAGACGCGGTGCGGAGGCTGTCAGGGACTGCTTATGGAGCCCCTTGGTGCCAAGCCCAGGAGTTGGGGCACTATCCTGCAGGGTAGAACCCTGAAGGAGTTTAAGGCTCTGTAGGGAAAAGCGAAGAGGGGCTAAGGGTGGGAGAGAGCGGAAGCGAAGCAGAGGCAGGTGATGCTATGGCCAGAGCCGGGCTAATACTCTCTAGGTTCTACCTGCCCTTTCTTACCAGCCATGTGCACCTGCAACACGTTACTGGACCTCAGTATTTCCATTTGCTCATCTGAAAATAAGGACAATTACAGAGCCTACCTTATCACATTACTGAGATGCCTAAGTGATTAAAGGTAAGTAGAGCATTTCCAACAGTGACCAGCCCATCATAAATAGTAGCAGTTGGCGATGTCATCAAAGAACACAGAAAGCTTGCTTTGGGGGCACAGAGAGGAGCTGATGGGAAGGTGTTTGAAATTCACCAGAGGAGAGGCCAGTGGGCCAGGAGCGAAATCAGTCAGAGGACTGATCCACGAGATAATGTTGAGACAAATCCTTCAGGACGTGGCAACTGGCAGGATGTGCAGGGGAGAGGGTTGAGTCACTAGTCACCCTAGGGCCGCTGAGGATGTGAGGTGCTCATAAAAAGAATAGGATTCAGGGAGGAGGGGACCGGGGACAGTTTGAGGTGCCTGTAGGACATCAGAGTGGGGTGCTTGGCTGAATATATGGATCAAGACTAGGAATCTGGATTTGGGGCTCATCATGATACAGGCAGTAGGAGAAGCCACAGTGTGGGCAAGCCGGCAGAGGCAGTGTGTTCGGAGAGAGAGAAAGGGACACAGGGTGGAAACCTGAGCAGGACCCCATGGAGACCTGGGTCGGGAGCACTCTAGATATTTCTCTTCCAGGATGCTGGTAATGTTTTAATGAGCCTGAAGTTGATGAGTCTGACCCATTAGGAGGCCAGCCCATCTGAGGGGCAGTGACTCCTGGGGACAGCGAGGAAGGAAGGAAGACCTCAGAAGTGACCAGAAGGGGTGGTCGAGGATGAAAATCAGTTTTGAGAAGTTAGTGGAGGACCCCCATGTCCATGTTCCTGGGCAGAAGGGGGCAATGGCGGGATGGTAACTGGTTGGCTTTGTCGGACAGATGACGATGACAAGCAGAGGATGTGGCGTTGGTGGGGACTAGGTCCAAGCTGGGGTGCAGCTGTTTCTAAAGAGAACTTCTCTTTTTGGGCATTTACTGGGCACACTACGTTGTGCAAATCCTCCCAGATGGGTGTGTTTGGCTCACAGCCACCTTCAGTAGTGGGTGCCAGTGTCATCCTCATTTCACCAAGCAAAAAACTGCTTAAGGGAGATTCACTTGTTCGCTCAGGGTCACGCTATAGTAGACGGCGGTGACAGTCTGGGAAGAACCCATGCGTGTCTGCCTCCCGAGACTGCAGGTCTTCTCAGAGCCCAGCGGTCAAGGCTTCGTCAGAAACGGTGCCTTCCAAGTGGGTGACTG